CTCCGTTCCAGACTCGTCAGCACCAGAGTCGAGCAGTGTAGGCAAGGGCGGCGACAGCAAGAAAGACGCTTGTAGCTTAGAGTGCAGATTCAAAAGTGAGCAGTGTATTGTGTTGCATCGGGGAAGACCGCAGTCAGAAACCCCCTTCCAGTTACCAGTGACTACTACGGCCCACAACGTGGACGAGAGCTGACCAACCATGGCCACGATCCTTCCTGGGCATCTCCGCAGAGTGTTTCCTGGATCTCTCCTTGTCTCTCATAGTCACAACTATTCACAAGTCACCCACGACCAACTACAAACTACCATATCAAGACATTCAACTGGAATGACACCAACTCCAACGGTTCGTCAACTCCCAACGACATCAGTCACCACTTGACGACACCGTTGAAGTCTCTTACTCCCACTTCATTCCACGTTGAAATACATTCACCGGATTAGACTCGTCAAGTGTTGGCTCCCAAGCTACACTTCTTGCATCTCAACATCCGTGTCCGTGACAGCCTCGACCATCACCCAAGCCTCTTGAACATTTTCCAAGTTGAGGCGACCCGCTGACGTTCAAACTCTGCCGGCCCCAACGCCTTGGTGAACACATCAGCCAGGTTTTCAGCAGTAGGCACATACACCACATCAACTTCCTTCTCTTGGACATACTCGTTGATGAATCGTGCATGCTTTGCCATGTGTCGAACTCTTGACGTATTTCCATTGTTGGCCACCACCGCAATCGTACTCTGATTATCGCAATACAGAGGTACTTGCAGGTCTGCAGAAGCGAACTCCAACTCAATGACCAACTTACGGGCCCACGCCACCATCTTACAACATTCATCGCAAGCCACCAGCTCAGAACTGCATGTGTCATCAGTGACTCGCCGTTGGAGATGACTCTTCCACATCCATACGTTACCATGCAAACGAAGAGCATATCCCGTGACAGACCGACTCGTCTCCGGGCACGACTGGTGGTCTGCATCCGAGTAGGCATCCAGCATCGGGAATTCATTCGAAACTCGATAGACTAAACCCATGTGCTTCGTAGCCAATGCATATCGGACTACTCGCTGAGCTGCCTTGAAGTTCTCACGCTTGTACGAGCTTGCATACCGTCCTAACGCTCTCACCGCATTCGCCAGGTCGGGTCTCGTGCATGCAACTAAGTATTGTAACGATCCCACAATCTCCCTGTACGGCAACCTCGGATCATTGATCAGCTTCACATCTCGCTCGATAGCTGCAGGCTTCTCGTGGTGAAATTGAGGCGATCGCACTGGTCTCGCATTGTCTAAACCAAACTTCTTTGCCAGTCGCTCAATGTATGCAGTCTGCGAAAAGCATAGCATGTGTCCTGGGGCGTAGTTCACTTCCATTCCAAGAAGGTGTCGAACTCGTCCAAGATCCTTCAACTTGAAGTGCAATGCCAGCTCCTTCACAACTCCATCAATATCAGCTGGAGTCCCAGCAACTACAATGTCATCGACATAAACTGTAAGGTACACCACTCGACCATCACGTCTGCGCCAGTAGATACCAGCATCAAACGTGCTCTGCACAAAACCGATCGCAACCAAGAGCTTGTGCAGAGTGTCATTCCAAATCTTGGAAGCCTGCTTCAGTCCATAAAACCCTTTCCTTAGTCGACACACTCGATCTGTTCCATCCTCATAACCCTCAGGTTGTTCCATGTAAATGACTACATCCGTCAATTCTCCATTGAGAAATGCAGTGACGAAGTCAACGTGCCTGCAATCTAGTCCCAGAAACATCGCAATCAACATCACAAGTCGTACAGACTCGATCCTGACCACGGGCGAGTAAGTTGCGAGATAGTCGATCCCAAACTTTTGCATGAATCCTCGTATGGCAAGCCTTGCCTTCAGCCTGTCTACATCTCCCTTCTCATTCCTCTTTACCACTAGCACCCACACGGACGTCAAAATGTTCACTCGGGGTTTGCCCTTCCTTCTCTTCGGCCGGGGCATGAGTTCCCAAGTTCCATTTTCCATCAGTGAGTTGTACTCGGCATCCATTGCCTGTTGCCAGCATTCAGCATGCTCCGATCGTAGTGCCTCCGCTCGCGTAGTTGGGTTCAGGATGTCATTCACCGCCGCGATCAACATGCATTGCATCAGTGTCATCGCCATTACAAACGTGCTTGGGTCATATCTGCGATTGGGCTTTCGAGTTCGTGTTGAATGCCGCGTTGGAGTGGTCGTTGCAGCTCCTCGGCCTCTGCTGCGTGTGGTTGCCGCACTCCCACAACTTCTTGTAGTTGTGCTCCCACCACTTCTAGTAGTAGGTGCTCTGGTCATCGAGCTCCCACCACTTCCAGTACTAGTCGTTGCAGCACTCACTGCACATCCTCCACTTCCAGTGGTTGCAGGCGCGCTCAAACTCCCACCAGCTCGATATCCAGCAGCACGAGTAACTCCTGGTAGGTCCTCTTCAATCGATTCCCAGCCACTGTCATCGCTACTGCTGCCCATATGCACGTCACCAGCGTCATCTCTCTTGTCGGCAGGGGCCACTGTTTTCTCTTCCAGTGTATCATCTTCCTCGGTATCGCTTCCAACGGCGACATGAGTGACAGGAAGTACAACGTATGGGATTGCGCTTGGTAGCGTCACCTTCTTGCCATAATATCGGCCAGCTAACAAAGTTTCCACGTACTGTTCACCAACTGCAACATCTTCTCGAAAGTGTACTGATCTTCGCTGAACTATATCTCCAGATGCCAAATCCAAGAGACGAAATCCGGGTTGCGATTCCGCCATCCCAAGGAAAATTGCCGGTCTAGCCCTCATCTCGAGCTTGTCCTTCTGTTTCGCCTTCGGTACGTGATGGTAAGCTACACATCCACACACTTTCAAGTCCTTTACATCGGGCTTGCGGTTCCACAGTTTCTGGAATGGCGTCATAGCTCCAAGCGCTTTGGTAATACTGAGATTGTCCACATGCACCACATAGTGCAATACTCCCC